GCAAAATAGGATATCATTAAGTTCTTTAATTGTTATCTTGAATTTGTTTGTGTTTCTTGATCTTGTGTTGACATGATTCCCATGTTTTCACTTACCTTTTAAGAAATTATTACATTGAATGATCTTTGCCTTTTTGTAGTAGTACTATGCACAAACAGAATGTGTTGTAGTTAGTGCCTTTAACTGGGTGTTTAAACCTGATGGAAGCATTGCATATTATATTATATTATATTTACTGGACTAAGGGAATGTTTACTACTTCATCTCTTCATTCTTTCAATGTATGCAATGACTGTTATAGGTGTTTATATCTAATTGCTTATTAATGATTATTTAACCCTTCCATGCATATGTAATATTATATATGTATGAGAAATTAATACAAACAGATAGTAATCAATTATATTATAAATTATTTAATTACTTCATATGTTGCATGAAATAATTATAAATTTTATGTAAAAACGTTCTATATAAATTATTGTAAATTTAATACAAATTTATAAAATTATTGATTATATAAATTTACTCACTGCAAAAACCATTCCCGCTGCATTGCACAGGCCAAAAACTAGTTAGTATACTAAAATGCATTCTTCCAAGTCCTTTTCTACTATAAAATACTATCAGTTTTCAAATTTTTGATCTTACAGATAAAATTTTTATGAACATACAATCTACTTCTACCGGTGTTCTGTTGATATGGAAGATAATAATAATACTAATATTTTATAAACCATTATTATGTACATGTAATAATTAAAGCAAGTTCAAAAAATGATAATCTCTATAACTAGAAACTCCACCATATGTTGATTATACATAATAAAAAAAAAATGTGTTGTTGACTTTTATGTATACAAATCCGCATAATTAGAGGTGAATACACCTCGATTAAAAAAAAAAAAAAACTGAACCAAATTGATCTAATTCGAGTTTTCTATCTAAATAAATAATTTCAGCGTTTGACTTATATAAAAAATAAGTTAAATTATCAAAAATTAAATGAACCAACCCAAACAATTTTGTGACTAGTTTGATTTCAATTTAGTTTAAGAAAAAAAATTTTTGATTTGTTATATTATGTGTTTAGTTTCATTCGAACCAACACAACTACACACCCTAACTATAATCATAGAGCTACTTATAGTACTTTATAAAATTAATTATTTTCTATCATGATTTCAAAAATTTGATGTATTACTTATGTGCAATTTAAGTACTCATGTGTTTTTCAATCTAAATTAACAAAATTATTGGATATTTATCAAACTAACTCTCCATCACAACTAAATTTGCTAAATTTCTAAATTTAAAATTTAAATATTTGGTTAATAAGTATTTAAAAATAACTTAATTTATCATAATTATTAAATGATATATTAATAGAACAGATAGTTCAATAGAAGGTAATGTTGTCATTTTAAAATTTTATTATGATAATATAATCTCCTTATGAACTGGTCGAACCGAATTGGGGCAGTTTCGAGTTTTGGTTGTCTTGCGGACCCTACATGATAATATAGCATGTTAGAAACGTGTAGAAAACGGAAGCAGAAAAACCGATATGTGATTTGAGACCCCAAATTTCCAGGAAAATTCAAAAAGGCGCAGCCACTAAATTTTGTACATTTTCAAAAAGTGGCTGACTTTCTATTTTCTATCAAATAATAACAGAAAGACCCTTAAGAAACCCTCTTTTCCTAATTACATCCCAATGGTTTTTGTAACTAGTTAAAAGTTCTTGCTTTTAAATTTTTTGTACTCAGGGATGAGCCAATTTTTTGATACTTTATTAGAATTTGTATATTTCCAAAATAAATTTTCCATGGATATAAATTTAAATATAATCATTTATTTTGAATTCCAATAACATCCAAGTTTACTATAATTACTAGTTATATAAAAAAATTTTAATATAAAATAAGTAATTTCATAATAATATTTTTAATGGATTATAAAATATTTTATTAAGGTCTTGATGACCAATTGTGCGAATCAACAATTCCTATCGTGCTAAGTTGAATTACTATTGCAACACTATCATTAGGAGGGTAAAACTAATCTGTCTCAAAAGGTCTAAACTCAGCTCATATCTCCTATTGGTAGGTAAATAATTCAACACTTGATGAATTCAGCTTTACAATGATAGGAAGAGCCGACATTGAAGGATCAAAAAGCAATGTCACTATGAATGCTTGGCTACAACAAGCTAGTTATCCCTGTGGTAACTTTTCTGACGCCTCTAGCTTCAAATTTCAAAGGTCTAAAGGATTGATAGGTCACACTTTCACAATTCGTATTCGTACTGAAAATCAGAAACAAATGAGCTTTTACCCTTTTGTTCCACATGAAATTTCTGTTCCCGTTGAGCTCATCTTAGGATACCTATATTATCTTTTAATAGATGTGCCGCCCCAGTCAAACTCTCCACTTGACAATGTCTTCAGCCCAAATCGACCGCCCAAACGACCTTGGATCCAAAAAAAGGAGCATAGCCTCCGACTTTGATTTATAGAATAAGTAAAATAACGTTAAAAGTAGTAGTATTTTATTGTTGCCTTTTAGCTCCCACTTATCCTACACCTCCCAAGTCATTTTATAAAGTCGCACTAGAGTCAAGCTCAACAGGGTCTTCTTTTCCCACTGATTTCGCCAAGCCTATTTCCTTAGCAGTGGTTTCGCTAGATAATAGACAGGGATAGTGGGAATCCCGTTAATCCATTCATGCGCATCATTAATTAGATGATAAGACATTTGGCTACAACAATGAACTAGCGAACTATCAATGAATGGAGAAGAACTTATTAGTAGTAGATTTTAATCTCTTAGGTAGAGGAAACTACTTTGCCTCCAATGCTCAATGATAGGAACCACATGCAGTGATGCACAAGAACATTTTCAATAGCTACATATAGTAGCCTTAGGTTGCTTAATTTTGTATAAATAATCTCAAATCCTTGAATTTCCTAATTAAGATCAATTTATAGTATTTTGACTCTTGTAATTATGTAATTAGAGTTTTATGCTTATTTAATTGCAGAATTATGTTTATTTCCATTTAGTTAATAATAATTTTATTATGTTTCAATGACTAAATTTGGGAATATAGTTAATTTGCCCCATGAACTTAGAAGCAATATTCAGTTTACCCAAAAATCAATTTTTTATATAATTTACCCCCTAAACTTACGCCAAAAGAATAAAAAAAAATCTAAGTTTTCACAAAAAATTATTTTTTTATATTTTAACTAATAAAAACTATTTAAAATTTAAAATTAAGAAATAAAAATTATTTAAAAATACAATAATATAAAATTTTAAAATTTAAGGAAATAATAAATTATTTGAAATATAAAAATATTAATAAAAAAAAATTTAAAATTAAGAAATAAAAATTATTTGAAAATATAAAAATATTAATAAAAAATATTTTCTTATTTTAAAAAAAATTATAGAATTACAAAAATATTTGATTATATGAATATTTAGTTTAACAATATTTATTATTTTTGTTTAATTATTCCTTAATTGTATTTGATCTAAATCAAATATTTCATTTTTTGTTTTCGATTTAAATTAAAATTATTTTGAGTAATAAATTAGGTTTTTTATTTTTTGGTGCAAATTCAAAGGAAAAATTATACAAAAAGTTATTTTTTGAATATTGCTTCCAGATTCAGAGTGCAAATTGAGTTTTATTTCATTAAACTTTATTATTTTCCATCCCGGTGAATCACCCTATATTTTTCATCTTTTTCCATGAATCTTACATTAGAAAACGTGAACTTCCCTAAGTCCAAATTTTTATGCCTAATATTTAATAATAAATATTATTAATAATATTTATTAGAGAAGTTAGTAATTGTCACAATTTATCACTTTTTATGCCTAATATTTAATAATAATTATTAAAATATAAAACTTATATAATTATAAATATTTTTATGGTCTTATAAATTAAATTTTTTAATATTTTAACTAACTTCTAATATTACAACCACACAATAGAAATTAAATTACTTGACAATTTTTCTATTTAAATTTTTTTCTTTGAAAATACTTTCTAAAGATAAGTTATTTCTGGATTCGAGCTAATCGGTGCTTGCTAAAAATAAAAAATGAAATGTTGTAAATTTAAGAGTTCAAAGATATAAATTCTAAAATTGATAAGTTGTAAAGTGATTTAAATAATTAGATGTGTCTTGCATTCAATATAAAGTTTAAACTTAAAAATCCTCATTTTAAGTAGTTTTTCAGTTTTAATTAATTTGTTTTTGGAAAAAATTAATTAAATCTTTTAAGTGATATGTAAATATGCATTAAGGTTACAATTATTAAATCCTAAAATTCTAATTTGAAATATTAAATGATGCAATCAAACATCATCACTAATGGATAGATGCATAAAATTATATAACCAATTATTGCCTGGTAAACTTGCAATTTTCGCTAATATTGAATAAATAAATAAAATTTTTTTCTTAATTTTCTCAGTTTATAAATGTTCTTATTCATTGATTTTATTTTTCTTTTGAAAGATAATAGTTTCCAATTAGATTGATGGCCTTTTGTTCTTTTTTTATTAATATTTTTTTAAAAAAGGATATAAAATGATGTTATTTATTTTAAATATAAATTTTTTTAAAATTAAATTTAATTGGCTCAAAATAACTAGAGACTAAATTACTATCAATTAATTTTGAATTGAATTGCATAAATTTTAAAAAATTAAGGACTAATTAGACATTAAAATTGATTTTAAACCTAATTGAACACAATTAAAAAATTAAATGACATTTTAAATTTTGATACTAACTTTTTATTTCATAAAATACGATTTTTTTTTTTTTTTGAATAAAAACACCAATCATGCTAATGCTGTTTGAAATTGGCATTAATAATAAATTGCATGAACTTTAGGGGAGGTAAACGATATTTCTGGAAATGTTTTTCGCTTTGTCACGTGTCTAAAAAATTTTACAAATTGAGGTGAGCATTTGCCGGGTGACGACATCACCCATTGTCCAACTCGCATTTTTGCCCTCTGGTTTCTAATTCTTTTTATGAGATTCTCTCTTTGTTTCTCTCCCTCTCCCTCTCCCTCTCCCCCCTTTATCTACCATTCTCAGCGTTTCGAGAGCAAATTATAGTTTTGAGGGCAAAACGAAAGAAAGCGTTTTTGTATTTCCAGTGCAAAAATCAAACGATGACAGTTTCTTCTGGGGAAAGTTCTATTGATACGTGAGTTAACTTCTTAATCTCTTTTTCTGCTTTTTATTTGTTCTTTCGATTGTTCCGACGCACATTTGATCTGTTTTTTTCTTTTTAACGTTAAATAAATATAGGCATTTGCTACTTTTAATGAACGAAAGAGAAGCTTTGGTGCAATGTGAACCCAAATCAACAAGTGTAGAAGTTGAATTATGAATCTTACTGGGTTGTATCATTTTCTTTTTTGGGGGGACTTTGTTGAATTATATGTATGCATGCACTTATTTTTAAATCAGCTGTTGTCAAGTGAATCTCTTCGTCTTGTTGGCTCAGTTTTCATCAGATTATAAAGTTTCTGGTTTTATTTCCAAATTTTTTTATTCGCCACCCACCAAATTTTGGTTGACCATTTATTATTAATTTGGTTGATCTTGTTTTCCTGTTCTTGAATGGTTAATATGACATGCATGAATTATCGATTCTTGATAATTTATATTGCTTTTTATATACAAATTTTGTATTTGTGAATTAAACAGGAAGAGAATTATTGAAAATCAAGGTTGATATTTTATTGGAACTATGTAGGAGTATATAAGTAATGATCTGCAAAGTGTTCAGTGAATTAATTGCAGAGGAAGATGTGCATTAGGGCCTTTTAATCTCTCGCGATTTTGTCTGGCATTATTTTACTTGTGATGCAAATCATTATCCTTTTCTTTTTCAACCAACTTTTAGTCTTTTAATTTTGGCACGAAATGGCCACAAATCTTAGAAAATGTATAGAGTTTTATTGCTAATATTTTTAGTCTAATTTATGGTCCTGTTCCAGTAAAATGGTTCCCTTATTTATGTCCTTGTAAATTGCTGAATTGAGTGCTCAATTTGGATTTTGACTCTATTTTGTGCATTGGTTCTAGTCTAGATTACTAAAAATAAGTTTGGCATTGTTCTTGTTATAAAATTAATTATCTAAACCTTTACCATTGGCAGAAAGTATAAAATTCTGAGGGAATATGGTGTTCTGTAGTTTAATAAATCAGGGGCTAAGTGGACTTTAGCATTTTTTTTTGGTGTGTGGACCTTTTATTGGTCTAAAGATGCCAAAGCTCTTCAGAATTATGTTGTTCTTTTTTCTTGGTTGTGTTATGAGATTCTCTAATTGGCATAGAATTATGATCTTAAGAAACCAATTGAAATACCCAAATTTAGTAAAGATGTAGTGTTTAAAGAAATGCAACTTGAATGATGAAATGAAATAATCTTACATGTTGAGGTATAAAAGCATTTAAAATATTTTGTATAATTCATTGGAAATTTCTTGTTTCCACTTTGGTATGTGATGCAGGAGCATCCAAACTAATTAAGAAGTTTTGTTTTAGTTTCCTTCTTTATTCAGGATTCTTAATTAAATTAAAGAATGTTAATTAATCGGGAAATAATTTTCAGTTTCCTTCTTTATTTAGGATTTAGCTAATTAGGAATACTTTTCAGTATAGATTTGTTAATTAATCGGGAAATAATTTTCAAGGTTTTCCTTCTTTATTTAGGTTTAAGCTTAATTAGGGAATACTTTTCAGTATAGAATTTAGGATTTTGTCGCTAAACTTAATATAAATAGGACAGCAACAATTAGTTTTAGGAATTGTTTTTTTTATCTATGAAATCAGAATTTTAATTCTAAGGGTTCTTTTGAAACCAATATGTTATTTGTTTCCAACCAAAAATTCATTTCCTATTCCTAGCCCTAATTGTTGAGAGTTAATTGCCTATATTCTTCCCCTGCATTAGTATGGATACGAATATGATCATTTCACTTCCCACAAATCATAAGGGTTTCTTTGAAACCAATATGTTATTTTGTTCCAACCAAAATCATCCTATTCTAGCCCTAATTGTTGAGAGTTAATTGCCTATATTCTTCCCCTGCATTAGTATGGATACGAATATGATCATTTCACTCCCACAAATCAATTTTATGGAATTCAACTTAACCTAAACATATCATGTCATTGCTAAACAAGTTCTATACTTTAAATTCTTTTATACCAAACAAAGGATTCATCAATCCATAGGAAGACAAAGCAGAAGGGATTGACAAGGGCTTTATGATTTTAATTTTGAATTTCAGAATTGCCATCTTAAGAGCTTGAACATGAGTTACTGAAACAGTTATCATGATAACAGATCATTACTATTATTATCACTTTTATTATATCTTTATGAACTCTTTATCTTGTTGAAGTCAGTATGATGTTATCGTATTTAATTTCTGGTGCAGTAAAAATTCTCTTTCTGGACTTGCTCCATTGGAGGCAGTATTATTTGATGTTGATGGAACTCTGTGTGATTCAGATCCCCTCCACTATTATGCATTCCGCGAAATGCTTCAAGAGGTAATAATGCATTCTTCATTTTTTCTTTACTTCTATTTGGAACTAGTACTAGTACATGTATGATGTTTCCTGTTTTATTGGTTTTCCAACTCGTGTTTACAACACTTGAAGGGAATGTGTAGGGACACAAATGTTCTTTTTCCAAAGTAATGACCTTTTTAAATTGAAGCTTTTGTTTGACTGAGATCTATTATTTGTGCTTATGACCTTATTGAATGGTGAATTTTTAACCTGTTTTTGAGGAATTTGCTACACTATGTGGTTCAACAGATAAATTTCAATGGTGGAGTTCCAATTACAGAGGAATACTTTGTTCAGAATATTGCTGGCAAGCATAATGACGATATTGCTGCAGTTCTCTTTCCCGATGACATTGAGAGGGGCTTAAAATTCACGGTTGATAAAGAAGCAATGTTTCGCAAGTAAGTTCCAATTCCTCAACTGTAAAATTTTTCTGAGAAGTACAACCATATAACTTATTCTGTGGAAAAACAGATTGGCATCTGAACAACTGAAGGCTATAAATGGCCTATATAAAGTGAAGAAATGGATTGAAGATCGCGGATTGAAACGGGCAGCAGTTACTAATGCTCCTAGACCTAATGCAGAACTCATGATTTCACTCCTAGGGCTTTCAGATTTCTTTGATGCTATTATTCTTGGCGATGAATGCGAACATGCCAAACCACATCCAGAACCATACTTGAAGGCTCTTGAAGTACTAAAAGTGTCAAAAGATCACACCTTTATATTTGAGGTCTGCCTCATCCCAGGCTGTCTCATCTTTAAAACCAGCTTAACCAGCCCCGATTTCTTATATTTGATATCTATTTTCATTTTTTAATTTTTTTCTTTTTTATTTTCTGTTATCTAGGATTCTGTTTCTGGGATAAAAGCTGGAGTGGCAGCCGGGATTCCTGTTGTCGGTTTAACTACCAGAAATCCAGAACATTTGTTGATGCAAGCTAAGCCAACATTTCTAATACAAGATTATGAGGATCCAAAATTGTGGACAGCTTTGGAAGAGCTTGATAAAAAGAAAGATGCTGGAAATTAAACCTGCTGCCTGAATAAATTCCTTGGAAACTTCATTATTAGTTGAATAATTCTGCTGAAGAAGAAGTACTGAATGGCCTAGCGGCTAAGGCTATCTGAAATTATATATAATATAAATTTACAATTAAGTATTATACGTAGCAGGTTGGTATTTTTGGCCATTGATGCATTACTTAGATTTGGTTGAAACTTGAATATGTAATGCTGATATATTGTACTGATTACTTGAAATATTAATAATAAAAATCCTCTAGAGATTGCCTTAACATGAAGGATTTTTTTTGGATGTCTTAATCTTTTTATGAAAGAAAAAAATAAGCGGAACAAAGTAGAAAAGGAAATCTGAACAATACTTATTGTGAATATGTTGGTCTTGAATGTTTAATCATCCAAGAAAGAAGAAATGTCAAATGTTGTTTGTGTTGGCCTTTTGACTATTGAGTTCACTAACTTACATATTTGGTTTTCGAATTTAAGAGCACCATAACTTACTCAGAGAAGAGTTTATTCGTATAGAGTAGAAAATATTTTTCTAAAAAAATATATATTTTTAAATGATTTTGATCAAGTTTGATAAAATAAAATAAATAAGTTAAATAAGTAAAAAAAATAAAAAAATTGACTTTCTAGAAGGAGAAAGGTAGTTTTGTCACAAAAAGTTGGAGTGTTTAGTTGTGTGGAATTCATTTGCAAATTCCACAATTTGGTATAATTATGTTTGATTCCATAGTATTGAATTTTTAGAATTGAAATCTACATTTTTTTTCTTTCACTCGGAACACAAAAATATAAATTTTTTAAATGAATTTTACAAAATTTGTTATAATTCATTTATTCCAAACAAGGGGTAAATAATAATTCAAACAGTAGTTACTACATAGACATGAAATACTATCTACATATTGAAAGGTTTAATAATATTGCATATTGAAAGGTTTAATAATGTTAAAAGTTTCAGCTACAGCTCCTTTGAAGTAAATTGATGCAAGTGTTATTGACAGATTTTGGAGGTATTTTGCTAAAGTCATTTAGATTTTATTGTACTTTGTTGAAGTCAAATAGTGGTAGGTGATGTACCTTTGCTTTTAAGTAGGTTTGGTGAATAAATTTTCTTGACTTATGGAAGGTTGGTAAACAAACTTTAGAATAACTCTAGTATAAATGTTTTCATTATGCTATAATGGAGATAAGAAGTGAAGATTAGTTTCTCCACACTTACAAACTCTGCAGATTTTTCCTTCTCTGCAGAATTTTTTCTTCTTTTTCTTCTTTTTCTGCTCTTCTAAACTGACAAGTGGTATCAGAGCAACCTTGATCTCAAAGGCCTGTGTGTGTGTTTGAGTGAAAATCACAGAGAAAGCCACTAAAGAAACCAGAATTTGTGAAGTTTTCTGTTTATTTAGTTTTCCTCAAATGGCTTACAGCAGCATGTATCTTTCACCGCCTCATTTTAATGGGGAAAACTACCATTTTTGGGCTGTGAAGATGAGAGCTTATTTCAAGGGGCTTGGATTATGGCAGTATGTGGAGGAAAATAGAGTATCTCCACCTCTTAGACAAAATCCAACCCTTCAGCAGATTAGACAACACGAAGAAGAGGTTGCTAAGGCTTCAAAAGCTCTGATACCACTTGTCGGTTTAGAAGAGCAAAAAAATAAGAAAGAGAAGACAAAATTCTACAAAGAAAGAAAAATCTGTAGAGTTTGTAAGTGTGGAGAAACAAATCTTCACTTCTTATCTCTATTATAGCATAATGAATACATTTATTAGAGTTATTCTAAAGTTTGTTCACTAACTTTCCATAAGTCAAAAAAGTTTGTTCATCAAACCTACCTAAAAGCAAGGTACATCACCTACCACTACTTGACTTCAACAAAGTACAACAAAATCTAAATGACTTTATCAAAATACCTCCAAAATTTGTCAACAACACTTGCAGCAATTTACTTCAATGGAGCTGTAGCTGTAACTTTTAACACTCCTCCTTGATGCAAGAGTTGAGACAAACACTAATTTTATTCCTAAGAAACTCAAATCTCAGCTTTTGCAATATCTTTGTGAAAATATCTGTTGTTTGGTCTTCAGAACTGCAATGAATAATTTGAATTTCATTTTCCTTTTCCGCTTCATGAATTGAATGATACTTGATTTTTATTTCACAAAAAAAATTTGCTTGGGTGCTGCTTAAAAAATTTGAACTTAGCAAATGCAAACCAGTGAGTACACCTACTGCCCATGGAATAAATTGCAAAAGCATGATGGTTCTCACTCTATAGATGCTTCAACTTATAGGGGCATGGTTGGTTCTTTGCTGTATTTATCTGTAACAAGACCAGATATCATGTTTGCAATAAATTTACTGTCTAGATTCATGAATTCTCCAACCGACAACCATCTTACAGCAGTCAAACGAGTTCTGAGATATGTGCAAGGGACTACTGGATTTGGTTTGTTTTATGGAAGATTAAATGGTGTGAAGTTGTTGGGATTCTCAGACAGTGATTGGGCTGGTTCATTGGACGATATGAAGAGCACTACTGGTTTTTGTTTTTCACTTGGTTCCGCTGTCATTTGCTAGGGAACAAGAAAGCAAGCTTCAGTTGCTCAATCAACTGCAGAAGCAGAGTATGTTGCAGCATCTGCTGCTGTAAACCAAGCTATTTGGTTGAAAAAGATGTTAGTTGATCTGAATTTTCAACAACAAAATCCAACTAAAATACTTTGTGACAACATTTGTTTTTCACTTGGTTCCAGCTGTCAATTTGCTGGGACAAGAAAAGCAAGCTTCAGTTGCTTCATCAACCTCGACACGAAGCAAGGTATCGGTTGCCATCAGCATCTGGCTGCTGTATGACCAAGCCTATTTGGTGATAAAGATGTTGGTGGTGATCTGAATTTTCAACAACAAAATCCAAACTAAAATAAATCTGTTGTGACAACAATATCAGCTTGTTGCTTTATAATGGGTTAAAAATCCAATCCTTCCATGGAAAACCAATCGCATATGAGCAAAATCAAGTATCATGCATTAGTGAAGTCGGAAAAGCGAAAATGAAATTTCAAAATTAATTCATTGCAATTCTGAAACTCAAACAGCAGATATTTGATTCACCAAGGCACTTGCAAAAACTAAAGATTTGAGTTTCTAGGAATCTACGTTGTGTTTTGTCTCACTCTTGCATCACGGAGAAAGTGTTAAAGTTACAGCTACATTGTCTATTGAACGTAAAATTGATGCAAGATTCGGTCTGGATCTGAGATTTTAGGGAGGTATTATTCTGAAAAGTTATTTAGGATTTATTTTTGTACTATTGTGAAGGTCAGTAGTCGAGAGAGGCTGTCGGGAGATATACTTTGTGACAACAAATCAGCTGTTGCTATAGTTAAAAATCCAATCTTCCATGGAAAAACCAAGCATATAAAAATCAAGTATCATGCAATTAGTGAAGCGGAAAAGGAAAATGAAATTCAAATTATTCATTGCAATTCTGAAGACCAAACAGCAGATATTTTCACCAAGGCATTGCAAAAACTAAGATTTGAGTTTCTTAGGAATCTACTTGGTGTTTGTCTCAACTCTTGCATCACGGAGAAGTGTTAAAAGTTACAGCTACATGTCTATTGAAGTAAATTGATGCAAGTATTGTTGATAGATTTTGGAGGTATTTTCTAAAGTTATTTAGATTTTTTTGTACTTTGTTGAAGTCAAGTAGTGGTAGGAGATGTGCCTTGCTTTTATGTAGGTTTGGTGAACAAACTTTCTTGACTTATAGAAGGTTGATGAACAAACTTTAAAATAGCTCTAGTATAAATGTTTTCATTATACTATAATGGAGATAAGAAGTGAAGATTTATTTCTCCGTACTTACAAACTCTGCAAATTTTTCCTTCTTTGCAGAATTTTTCTTTCTCTTTCTTATTTTTCTGCTCTTCTAAACCGACAAATAAGAACTAATTTCCAACTCTAAAACACAAATTTAAACTCATTTTAAATTCGATTTGAGTTAGAAAAAATAAATTTGAACTCAACTTATTTTTAAAAGAACTAAGCTTAAATCAACTCGTTCTGCTTTTAAATTTATCAAATTTGGAGCTCGTCTCATTCACAAATTGTAATTAAAAAAAATTATAGAATAAATATTTAAACTCAAATTAATCAAATGATTTTATTTTATTTTTTCAAATCAAGCTTTCAACAGCTAAGGAGTGGTTTGTTTGAATGCCGTATTTCGCTTTCTCACCACGAGGGAGCAATTATACACCGCTCACATGCAGAATAGTATAATAAAAATGAAAAAATGAAAAATTGGCTTTTATTTGCCTTTCATTGATTATTGTGCTCGATTCTTCTTTAATCTTTACTTAATTACTGATACTCTCTTAAATATTTCCACCATTGCAGTATATTCTCTGTTCCAATGTCCGCTTGAGGACAAGAAAATATCTTTTAAGAAGAAACCCTTTCCATATTTGCTGCCATCCATCAACACAAAATGGTGGGTTCCAACCAAAACCCAGTTAGCAGGTATTTCTCTCTCTCTCTCTCTATTTTTTTAACTGTTTTTTAGAACTGATTGCTAGCTGTTTGGTTGTGTTTCCTTTTTGTACATTTGAACTTCTGAAATGGAAATATTTGCCCAATTTTGTCACGTTCAGGAAGAAATTAATACTGTACTTAATATTCAAATATGGAAAATCTATTCTTTAAACTTATAAAAAAAAAAACAATCTTGGAAAAGAATTATATCAATTCGTTTTCACTAGTCTATACATAAAATGAAAATGGAAAATTTTGTTTTTCCAGAAAATAGTTTTCATTTTTATTGTCTATCTGTAGATACAGTTGCTTTAGGGTAAAATGAAGGAATGGAGTTGAATAGCAAACCAAAATAAGTCAGTACAAGTACAGGCCAATCAAGTATGGTCTGATTTGGTGTTCTCGTTAGTGTGAGAAATAAGAGGTTTTGAGTTCGAATCGTACCTGATTAGTCTTCTAGCTAATACGAGAAATAGGAGGTTTCGAGTTCGAGATTCGAGACCTCTCAACCACGAGAGTTGAATAGCTAATACCTGATTAGATAAAGTTGCTATCTTGTTATTTTGCATATTGGGCCCCTAACGAATCCAAAAAAATAATAAAAAAAAAAGTTATCAGCATAGGTAAATTGAAGTTCTGATTTTTGATGCTGAGTGTGTGAATGGTCAGGGGAAAAAAATGAAAAGGACATCATGTAAAAATAGTCTTGATTTTGATGCTAACTGGATTGGATGGTATGACCTGATGCTCAAATTGGCTTTATTTTTAAGTTAATTGTTTAAATTTTGGGGTTGCAGTGAAGGTTTTCTTTCTAGACTTGCTCCATTGGAAGCTGTACTGTTTGATGTTGATGGAACTCTTTGTGATTCTGATCCTCTACACTACCTTACATTCCGTGAAATGCTTCAGGAGGTAATTACTACATTTTTCTTGATGACATGTCAGATGGAGAGAATTCGAACTTAAGACATTTCACCATTTATATCTTTGTAAAAAAATAAGAAGAACAACTAGATCGCACTCGCCTAATTGGCTATATAAAATTTACTTTATTTATTGTTAGGCGGCGATTTTTTTTTTCTTTTAAAGGAGAAAAGATTCACTTTTTTTATTGTTATTAATAGAGTTTCTTGATTAGCAATCAGGAATATTAGGGGGGAAAATATCTGTATGATTCTTTCTACAATTTGCTCGTATCTTACCAAAAACTAAAAAAAAATATATATATATATCAATTTTTTGGATTTTTCCTTTTATTGCAATTAAAAATACCTGCTTGCCAGGAAAAGGTATTTTCAAGGTTTTAACTAATTTAAATGGATTTGTTCTACTTTTAGGCTTAAGTTTTTGGGACTGCCAGCCATTTAATGCATGAAGGCACATCCCTTCTGACTGATCATGATTTGCAAGTTTTGAACAATTATTACAGGGTTCAATTAACTAATTTTTAACAGATAAATTTCAATGGAGGAGTTCCTATTACTGAAAAGTTCTTTGCCGAAAAGCTTTCTGGAAAGCATAATGAAGATATGGCCTTGGTCCTATTTCCTGATGATATACAAGGAGGCATGAAATTTCTTGCTGATAAAGAAGCAATGTTTCGACTGTAAATTCCAGTAACCCATAATGGAAAAATAAATCATTTAAAATTCTTCAATGTCTTACCATGAAAATTTTCCAATGGTAAAAACCAGGTTGGCACCAGAAAAACTAAAGGCCGTTAATGGCCTTTATAAAATGAAGAAATGGGTTGAAGATCATGGTTTGAAACGGGCTGCAGTTACTAATGCTCCAAGAGAAAATGCTCAACTTATCATATCGATTCTCGGCCTCACGGATTTCTTTGATGTTCTCATCATAGGAGGTGAATGTGAGCATCCCAAACCACACCCAGAGCCCTACTTGAGGGCTCTCGAAGCACTCAAGGTGTCGAAAGATCACACATTTGTGTTTGAGGTATAACCTTCTTTCTGGTTTTATCCAACAGAGGAGACAGTTCTTTTTTTTTTTTTCCCACTAAATACATCAAATATTTGATTCTTCCGTGGAAATCAAATGATTTTAGCTATTAAATATAGGAGAAAAGTCAGGAATACTCTACTGCATGAGCAAAACTATTCTTATATTACATTTGAGAGACAGTATGATTAATGTATGAGGGTATTTTTTTTATTTTTCGCTTATATCCATTGGTCGAAATTACTTAATTTCGAATAAAAGGATCAAATATTTGATCTTCACATATCTTATATGAACTAGATATTGTATTTTGAAAAAGTTGAAGCATCTACAGTTTTATATTATGTTGGGTCTTAATTAAAATGTGTTTTTCTGTTTTTACTTGGACAGGATTCTGTTTCAGGGATAAAAGCTGGAGTTGCAGCAGGTTTACCTGTTATTGGTTTAACTAGTGGAAATCCAGAACATTTACTCATGGAAGCAAAGCCTGCTTTCCTTATAAATGACTATAATGATCCCAAACTATGGGGAGCTCTTGAAGAGCTTGATAAAAAGGAAGATGCAGGAAATAATTTCTCCATGAGTAAATCTTAAATCAATCCATTATATTTTTTTACCTTTCTGATATAGAGCAGCCTCTGTTCTACCTTTTGGCTTAATCACTTTATTAGTGTCTCTTTGTTTTTCCTTCCATGTCATCAAAATATTGATGCATGTTAGTTTTTGTGTCTGAAATATTACCAGTGAAGATCATATGGCAAAAGAAAGGCTAAACCATTGTGGATACCCAAACTTTATGGACCGTAACAATTGCACCTAAAATCAACTCAAGTTCTCAGGCACCCAAATTTCAAATTTGTGTGACAATTACACTCTAAAATCTAAATTCTAAATTGGTCAAAATAGAAAAAAAATAATAATAAAAGTAGGACCACAACGGTTAGCTGATCCAACTTGAGTTAGCACACACAAAGGTTAGTTAATCCAACTTGAGTTAGCACACACAAAACACACCGTTTTGGTAATTTCATTCATCTCTCTTCTTCATCGAACTCATTTTGCCCATTTCTCTGGTGATTGTGATTAATTATGTAAAACTATTTAAGCAATTGCTTCATTTAGGTTCCTGATTTCGGTAAGACTTCTAAAGAAACAAACAAATGAAATTTAAAAAAAAAAAAAAAAAAAAAAGAGTTACGGCACACATTATAGCGAACAAACACAACGTTGTTTGAGCACCGTTTTGGGTAAGGATTTCATTCATTCTCTCTTCTCATCGAACTCATTTTTGCCCATTTCTCTGGTGGAATTGTCGATTAATTATGTAAGAAACTATTTAGCAATTTGCTTCATTTAGGTTCCTAGATTTCGGTAAGACTTCTTAAAGAAACAAAATAATGAAAATTTTTAAAAAAAAAAAAAAAAAAAAACAAAGCTCCGGCTCATAAATTAATCCTCTGACTCTGTAGATGTCAAATGTTTAAACAAGAAAAGAAACGCAACTCTCAACTCTCACAAGCATAAGAACAAACACATATAAGACACCTATAAACCTTCATTCTCCGGTGACTGTCCTGGAGGAGTCGTATTCTCAGAGAGTGCTAAAGCCATAGTTGGACACCAATTTTATGTTACAGATCTTGTTTGGTTTTTTAAAAAGTAAAAATTAAAGATGAGTAATGAAAAATGAAAGATCGAATAGTTGTTAAAGAAAGAGAAGGCAAAATGGTCATCTATTATACAAGGTTTGCATTGTGATTAGATTTGATTTGAGGATTCCAGCAAGGTTACATGGGAGGAAAGACCATTAAGGACAGAGACACATAGGAGATAGAGAAAAAAATAAAGTTACAGTGGAAGGGAGTGAATGCTTAGATGTAAAGAAAATTATTAAAAAAATCCACGTGTTACCATGTAGTATTCCGCTGAACCAAGTGAAGGAAAATATGTAAATGTATTTTTCTGTTACACAAATCGGAATTACAAAATTTGGCTTCATAAATTGAATTCATTAGAGATTATTACCTCTCATCCCAAAAATATGATTAGAAGAAATATGATAATCCACTTTCTATTTATCACATATATCAAGAAATATGATTAAAAAACAATTTTATATATATAAATTTTCTATTTTGCCCATCTTAAATAACACAGAAATAAAGATAAAATTTAATAAGGATATAATATGTAATTTAAAGATTAACTAGAATATAAAAAAAAAAAGTGAATTATATTTTGAGATATTCATAAAGGAAAGATGAATTATCTTTTTAGGACGAATGTAATATTAGGATTGGAAATTAAGATATTTAGTTTAGAAATTGATGATGTATGCTTTTATTTGAGTTTTTGATGTGGAAATATAATGGATTGATACCTATTTTTCCTTTTTTTTTTTTCCTATTTTTCTTACTTTTTTATGGGTTTTTTCTTTTGTTTTGTCGACAAAATAACACTTAGGATCAAATTGGAGAAAAAAAAGTATGCCTTTCCAATTACATAAAGCTTCTGAACAATAATTGATGTAATAAAATAAAAGAATAATAGTTAAACATATAAAAGTCTAAAGTTAAAGGATTTGAGGATAGGATTTTCCAATTTCAAAAATGTCATTGTTTCTACTAAAATAAATTATAAATAAAACCAATTATAAAATGAATTTTATAGTTTAAAATTCATTTATACTACCAATGGCTAAGTAAAAACAAGAAGATTGGCTCAAAGCTGTCTTTGTCACATCTCACAATAACCAAACCAAGATATGTTACCTATTCCATTTAGGTTTCAACGCTTACCTTACCTAGTCCATGAGACCGCATCAATCTCATCTCTCGCGGACTTGTATAAATCGAGTCTTTTGGCACATTTCTGCCTTCTTTCCATCAATGCAGGATCTTCATCAAGCAATTCTGCAAGTTGTTTGGCCTGCAGTACAAAAGGATAGAATTAAAAATAAATCAGCAGAAACACTTGCAGCAAATTATATTCATTCAGATATCTCACTCGTGTCGGTTTATAAGCAACAGTTTATATCAAATATACTATGGCTAAATGCATAAATTTGCCCCTTAATTTTACGTGGTTTGCCTTGTGGCACTTTTAAGTTTGCAGAGTACTTATCATGACCTTACACTTTCACATTTCAGCAATAACTATAATTATACCCCTCGCCAAAATTCAAATAATTTTGCAAGTATTTTATTTTACTGAGAGGCATAGTTATTGCTGACTGTAAAAGTGTAGGGTCATGATACTCAAACATGAAGGTGCTACAAGACAAATTGCGTAAACTTTAGGACCAAATTTATGCGTCAAGCCGATATGCTATCAACATCAAAATTGAATTGGTAATAGAATTTCAAACAATTTAAAATATGCTATGTAAAATTTCCGACTAAAAAATTTGTGCCCAAATTAAAAATAGAAAAAAACAAGCAAACTTTTTTTTAGCAAGTATAGAATTAATGTGTATAGGATTTCAGTTGGTCAAAGGGAGCATTGTCAAGGAAAAATGCTGTAATGTGCTAAAGGTTTACGAACCAATGACGCTTAATTGTTTGCAAGTGAATTTGTGTGCACAAATACAAAGGGATCATGGCAATGCATGCAAGTTTTTTTTTTCTTCTTTTACCTTCTTTTGCCCTATTTGAGTGTAGAAGTGATCTAGCAATGACTGTTTGGCCTCCCGCACTTGACAATAAACCACTGACTTGGGAATGGAATTCCTGAGTGTATCAGACACCATCCCAACATAAGAGGAAACATTGGATCCTATTCTGCGAAAGTGGCCCTCTGTATACCGATCCGCATTGGTAGCAGTTGGATTTCCGCCCTTCTCCACCTCCATTGGAAGTTTCCTAAAGAAATCCACAGTCAGGTATGAGGATTCCATGTCCACCAACCTCAAAGTTGTCTTCTTACTATCTTCACGGAACCTCTCCAATGCATCATAGGCAGCAGATGCTATTTCAGCTTGAAGAGTTGGAAAGCGCCTCAACTCCTGTCCATTTTCCTCAAGGTTAGTTAGTTTCTTCTCTCGTTATTTTACATTATTACTAAGAAATTAGTAGGGTTTCAAACTTCAAACCTGAGTTTCTCTAACTGCCTTTCTTACAAGTTCTTTCAAAATAAAGTGAACCTGCATAAAAAAAATAAAATAAAAAAAAAAAAGGAAAAATCAATTGTATGATTGTAAAAATTTTGAAAATGTGGAATAAAGCATTCATCTTCATTTTCCTAGTGGTAAAAACAAATATAAATGCTTGCTACCCTATCTGGATTGCCTACATTTCATAGTAATAAGATAATTATCAAAATATCGACAGAATTCCTACCACCATATGTTCAATATATTTGATTCACATTCACCATATCTCTACTGTGGTTTAAAAAAAAAAAAAAAAAGGAATGCTTGCTTAACCCTATTTCTGGATTGCCTACATTTCATTAGTATAAAAGATTAAATATCAAAAAATTCGACAGAATTCCCTTACCCGACCATATGTTCAATATATTTGATTTCACATTCACCATATCTCTTACTGTGGTTTAAAAAAAAAAAAAAGGGTTTAATATACTTTCAAACATTTACAAAAAAATTTTTTCTGCAAGAAATTATTTCACTTCAGATAAAAATTTCATACCATTGCCTTCAACAAGAAGACATCTCTAAGGACAAATAAAATGCCATGGAACCATTCCTGTTGATGCGTTTTATATCCAAATACTCACAAATGACAACATGAAAAAAAATTTATTAAAAAAAAAAAAAAAAAGGTAATATACTCAAACATTACAAAATTTTTTTCTCAAGAAATTATCACTCAGATAAAAATTTCATACCAGTGCCTTCAGACAAGAAGACATCTCTAAGGACAAATAAAATGCCATGGAACCATTCCCTGTTGATCGTATATCAAAACTCACAAATGACAACATGAAAAAAAATTAAAATTAAAATAAAACAGCAGACTTACTGCATCTACGGAAGCTTCAGCTGGCCCTCTGAAGTAATTGATTGCACCATCAATGAGCTGTCGATAACCATGCTCAGGAGCAATCAAATGAGGTTGATATCCATCTGCCTCTGAAACCACTTTCCTTATATTTTGCAAAGACAAATAGCGGTCAAATGGAAGTTTCCTTAAAGCTGATGGGAGCTGGTAGTCAAAAACACCATATATCTTATCACCACCAGGTCGCCTGAGATTTAGCATAGGAATTAAACAATAAGTAACAGGCTATGACAGACTTCTTAATTATCTAACTATGCTCATAAAAATGAAGATGAGGCATCAAAACCAAAACTCTTGAGAGTTGATCATTTTTGGACATTGCTGAGAAGTCATCCAACATAGTACTACATCAATTGCTCAAAATAAACTGAAATAGAACATCACTGATGGATTTATGCATGTGTTTCATTATATGTAGAACTGTTCAGATCTATATATATCTGTTTTCTGAATGATAAAAATCAATTTGGAAATAGAAAACATATTTTGTTGTTGTTTTCATAGCTGCTGGAGACAGTTTCCTTATCGTTAAAAAAAATGAAAAAAAAAAAAAAAAAGAGAAGAAAAAAGAGAAAAATTTGATATAGTACCCTCCATTCAAATGCTCCTTGAACACCTGGTCGAAAGCACGACATAACTCCAGGATAGTGTATAATTGGGCCTGATATGAATACAAAAAATGGTCAACTATCTTAACCTAGTTGTCATCCAACTATAAATGCTAAAACAATATGCATAAGCACCTACCCCAGCATCAATAGCAACAGGTCTACCTAGGTGGTCCAACTCAGCTTCAAGTTCATCAATGCTTCTGTTAATTAATGACATGATGCCTGGTATGCGAGCGTTAATTACAGACTCCAAATCCTGAAACCATATAATAATCAACAATTTAACAAATCATAAATTGAATTAGTTAAAAAAGAAAGGTTCGATATTTTGTTATCTTAAGATTAGAGGTGCAAAATGTAAAAATAGGGGCCAAACAAAATAAAAGAAAGGCTGAAAATCCGTGATTGTATGATGAGACAAGCAAGTAATTTCTGGACACATTCACAAATATAAAAGTGGAGAAAATGTCAGACTTGCAAGTTAAAAAGGAAAACCTTGGATAGAAGTTTTGCAAGATATTCTGAACCCATTCTGCCAGCCAGGTGCCTATATTCAGGATTCGTAACAAAGAATTCGCGCTCTTGCCGCCTAGCAGCTATCATGTCTACATTTTTGTTGATATCAGCTTGTGACCGGTTCACAATTCCAACCCAAGGATGCTGAAGTGGATAAGCCCTCCCTTCTAGGACCTAAAATAGAGCAAACAAGCACACATGAGCAGAGTAGTCATTAAACTATCAATTACATAGAGAAAATAATGTGCATGCTGGTAACAGGAAAAACCAAGGGTTTTATGGACTAGAATTAAAATTACAGAGCATATCAGAATGTTTAAAATTATGCCCCACTAAAAATTCTTTAGGTAGAAATATATTAACATCTAAAAGACATCAAGCTTGTTTGGCAATGAGGTAAAAACAGCTTTCCAAAAGCATCCATTTTATATATTAATCCAAAAAAGCAGTTTGGGAGTGTTGTTTAGCAGGTCTGAAGGTTTATATTTTTAAATATATGAAATTCACCTTAAAAACAAACTTTAATGACCTCTAATCAAAGTTTCAGTAGGACTTTTCTCAATAGCATTTCACACAACAATACCAAAAAGATTCATCATCCACTATCTAGCTAAATATTTCAAAAAACTAAGAATCCTTACATCCAAAGCATTTGTTCCCTTATCCATCAAGTCGAGCTTTGTCAACACGCCAAATGTCCTTTGACCTGGAAACAAATAGAAAATATCTTTACTCAGAAAGAGCACCATAGAATAATCATCAATGCCATAAATTTGGTTGAATTGAGCTGTAAATGAAAACTCAATTGAGCTGTAAATGAAACTGAAAAGAAAAGTGATACCTGTTGGATCAACTTCTCTAGAGAGTTTGATAGCATCAGATGTTGCTATATCTTGATTGGCTGGAGTTATAGCCAGAATAATGCAATTTGGCTGCAGTCCAATAATCATAATTTCATTGGCCAAGAAAGAGGTAAAAAACAATTTGTTCATTTAATAAAGTATATGAAGAACTCTAGCAAATGAGAACACCACCAATGATATTCATTTTGCCCCTACTTTCCTGTGTAATTTTCAAATTCAAAAGCTACCTCATGCCAACCCTCCCACACCTTTGCCACTTTGAGCCAAAGAAGGAAATGAATCAAACTGAAGCAGGTAAATAAATCTCATAGAATCTGTTTGTTTCACAAAAAGAAATTTTCTCGAAGAACGTTTCCACAAATTTTAATATTTGGTGTACTCAGGAAAATTGGTGAACGAAATATACAAGGGACAACTAACATTTTCTAAACTCCAATATACATTTCTCCTTTTCAAAAGAAGAAAAATTTTTCAAAACTCTAACAAACTTATAAAAATGAATTAAAATTGAAAGGAAGTACATAAATACATACTCATTAGTCCACCGACCACCACTAGTCATTCTTAGCCACTGTCAAAATTTTTATCACTTCTTACATTTTTGTTTTGGCAACATTCAACAATAAACAATAAACAAATAAATTATTAGTCTAAAACATTTCTGGTCTTATAAATTTCAAGAATTAATGTATTTTTTAATATATTTCAAACATCAGAAAAAAAACTCCTGACTTAATTTTCAATAGCGCAAGCAAACAATAGAAAATAAGTTATTTTTTCAGAAAATGTTTTCCACGGACAACTTATGTCCGTGAAGAAACCGAGTCTTAATCTGTGAAAGATATCACTCATGATCACACCTTTTAAATGACAGAAAACATAGCAAATCAACATTAGGGGGAAAAGGACCACTACTTGAAAATGTAGTAACATTTTATTAATTCAGATTTGCAAAATTATTTATAAGCATGTGAGAATTTTATTTCAAACATTTTTCTTGCGATGGCTGGGAATCTCATTCTCCACACTAGCAAGTTGGAGACCACCCCATTCACAAAAGGAAGAATTAACATGAAAACAAAGAGAATCTTATCTTTGTTTATATTTAATTGATGCCTATGGGTTAGCAAATTTTTTTTCATTTATGAACTAATTAAAACTTCTCACAATTTACCTTCTCAACATATGAACGAACCATATTTTCAATGTCCTTAACTACGTTCTCTGGTTGCCCCTCTGCAAATAACAAACATATCTAATTTATAAAAACAACAGATGAAGAAAAGCACCAGTGGTTTTAAAACATCATTGTTAATAGATGAAAAAAAAATAATGATTCAGGAGACAGATTTGGGTATACCTACAGCAACCTTTGTTAAACCAGGCAAATCTATCAGTGTCAAGTTAACAACTGAAAGAAAAAAAGGAGCAAATGTTATCATTCTATCATGATGTTGCCAAAATAAATCTGTACCAAAAGAAGCTCCAGTGTAAGTTACTCCTTTTACCATTTGGAGAGTAGATACTGAGATGAATAGGAACAGGAGAAATCTGCTTTGACTTGCCGGTCAGTTTGTCAGTTTCATCTTGAATTTCCTTTCGAACCATTGCTGGATTAGAATAAAAGACATTCAATCAAGTTCGAATGCACTTTCTTCAAAAGATAATGATAGGAACAAAAAATGCCAAGCATGTATTTCTTATTCTGGCTCAATCTCCAAGGAAACACTGTAAGTATACTCCCAAATAAATGCATATAATAAAAAAAAAAAGCTCGCATAAACATAGTGGCAGATTTATTTCTATGATAAATAAAGTAGTTGGTAAATGAAAATTGCATTTCAGTTAAATTACTAAAAGGGCGTACTACCTTAATCCAATATATTATTAACAGCCTGCATACAAGCAAAGTCTGAATTGTGCATCTTCATGACTTAGTGACGCAGATAATGATTCAAAAACATAATCTCATTTAAAATTATGACTTAGTCACGCAGACAATGGATCAGTGAACCAACAAGGACACAACATTTCAGAACCACAGCAAAAATTGAAATCTGGAATAAAGATGTAAAACTCTAAGTAGGTTGCGTCAAACTAAATCACTGGTTTAACTCTTTTTATATAACTACTAAGACACCATTTTGTTAGAAAAAAAAAATCCAAAAAGTTAATATTATAAAAAGCAAAAATTAATTTCTCGTAATAATTTCCCTAAAAATATTTCATGTGTGAAGTAAATAACATGTTTATCACCTGTAGTTTCTTATTATTGCATTTCCTTTCTACCAAAATAAAAATCTGTGAAAATCACTTTTTAGGAAGAAAGAGCAACAAGCAAAATCTTAAATCAAATGAAGCCCAGGGGCATTCCGTTCCAAGCCTGATCAACCTTGGAACCCAATTTGATGTCAATATAAAAGCATGTTCAATATGAAACTACAGAACTAAATAAGCTTTGTTAAGAGTTGGAAGTGGAACCACAAATAACTATAATGTGTCCGGTTAGTCCAAGAATACGACAAATGTCAAGAACTTGGATTAGGCAAATCTAATATTGCATTTGAAGTTGAAAGCCTAGACAAGGCACAATTCCTCCTTCTTATCTGCAAACTGATAATCATCTAAAAATCATCCACAAAGTAGACGTTGTAAGTGTTTAACCTTGACAATAAGGTAGGTCAAGTAGCAATTGATATTAATAATGGAGATGATCACATATAACCAACCACTGAGACAATGTTCCAATATTCCTGCCCTATGAAATTTATTAAGTGAACATCAACTAATTAGGAATCAATTAAAGTTAATAAAAACTGTTGCTGAAAAGTCACGTAGTGTAGTGCCAATATTATCCTACAACATTGCCTGAAAGAACATAATTCGAACTATTGAGACAACATTTGTAAGCACAGGGGATGCCAAAATTAAAATATCCTACCACCTGTTCCAACCATACAATATAAAAAAATGTTTTAGGATCTTGTAATCATTATTATATAATTTTACAGTACAGAAAATATATCCTATAATGACAACGTGCATAATGAAACACATACAGAAGTCAGTGAATCGTTGCTTGGGTAAGTGGAGAAACTCTGCATACTCTGACTCTGCCTTGTGCAGTTGTAACACCAAAGGCCGCCTTGTTACAATGCCTGAAATTTGCACAACAACCATATAGAATGAAACATCGTGAGCTATTTTTAGCAGTCAATAGAACCAGGAAAAGGAATTTTGACTTAAAAAAAAGTATTGAAAAAAAATAAAAATTGAAATATCATGGTCAATGATGTTTCTTAAAAAAGTATTAAACAAATAGATATAAAAAAAAAAAACTATAAGGTTAGTCAGTTCTAGTTGACTGGAATAACTAACTATTAAAATAAGAATTCTTTAAAAGAAAAGCAAAGTCTCCCTTCCTTTTTCTTATTTTTTTTCTCCGAAACCAATCATCAAACGAAAATAAAATAACAAAATACAAGAAAAAGAACTATTAGTGTTTTACTTATTAATTAGTAAACCATAACCTGATCCCCTTGGAAGAAAATCTCTCCCCACAATGCTCTCCAACACCGATGACTTTCCTGAACTCTACATTCAAACAAATCAAAATATAACTATAATGCTAACACCGAAAATTATGTATATTTTGAATTCAAAAATCAAGTTATCAGAAACGTAAGCCAAAAGAAATAAATGCATTAGTAAACCTGGCCGCCGACGACAGCAACAGACGGAAGCGACTCCCAGAGAGTAGGCAAAGAGACGGCGCCAGTATCGTCGCCGTAGTCGCCGAGGACCGTACAGGCTCTTTGTATCCTATTGACGAGGCCGATCAAGCTCTCCATTGTGGCCATTTGAGTAAGGTTAGTGTTGTTGCTGGTGTTATTATCTCTATCTTCTTCTGTCGAGAGAGATGGTGAATTTGAATTTGAATTTGAATGGAAAATGGAGAAGAGAAGAAGGCATGCAGTGATAGAGACAGAGAAGAAGTAGAGAAGGAAGATGACTATTTCCAGAGCTATTTTCGCTTTTTCCGCTTTTTGTTATGATTTTGTTTGTTGTTTGAGAGTGTGGGCCTTTTGTGTTTTGAGAGAGTGGGGGATTGAGGAGTTATATATGTATGTAGTGCGCCACGTCAGCTAACTGTTTTGAATTTGCGTGGACTTTCTCGTGACTTGGATTTGAATTCGGCGACTTATGCTTCCTCTTTGGTTCAATTCTATATACAAATACAGAAGTTGACCTCCCAATTTTTCAATTTTGACTCTGTGGAACCTTAACTTTCGAAATGACTTATTGCACGATTAATTTTATAAATTTTGATAACATTATATATATTTTCGAACTAATAGCATATTTCTTATATGTTCTGTAGCTAATTTGATTGCTAATTTGATTGGTTATATTTTAGATATAATATTTTATAAATAAATATTTTATTATTAATAAAAAACATTTATTTATCTTTTATATTCTATATAAATGTTGGAAACATATTTATATTTTCGAACTTAATTAGCATATTTTTCTTATAAGTTCTGTAGCTTAATTTCGTTGCTAATGATTGGTTATTTTTAGATATAATATTTATAAAATTGATTGGTTATATTTTAGATATAATATTTTATAAATAAATATTTTATTATTAATAAAAAACATTTATTTATCTTTTATATTCTATTTATTAAATCTCAGTAAAAGATAAAGTCCACGAGAAAGTACTGCTTTTTAAAGTAAATTATAATATGGTTATAATTATGAATTTTATTTTGAATGAAAGCAATGTTTCTAAATATTTCTGGTCATATTCTTCTCATTATTGGACGATGATTAGACCTGTTGAGACAGATAAATATTATATTCTTTCCTTAGAAAAGCAGTTCTCATAAACTGAGATATATATAACATCTAAAATTAATATGTAGATACTTGTTATTTGAACAAATGCATTAAATGTGACCTGCATAAGAATTCCATATGGAGAATTACTAAGCTATCTTGTATGGGGATGATATGTTTTGATTCTTCATTCACATTATTCATTTATGAATAATAAGCAATAATTAATTAGACATAGTAGGAACTGTATGAAAATACTTGTGTAATTAAAATATGATTCATCACCCTAGGTAAATTAGGAAAAATATTCTAATTGTTCTATATCAGTATTGATTAAGAAATCATCGCGCGAGGTAGAATGAAATTAGCAAATCAAATTTGAAATTTCTTAGCAAATTAGATTTGAAATTTCATTCAAATAATCAATGGCTAAGATTAAGAGAACTAATATAATTTAATAAAGCAGACACACTTCATACCTAATTACTAAATCAGAATATTAATGATGAAGGAATATTAATTACACTGATAAATCATACATTGAAAGGTTAAATCAAACCACTTTGACTTTTCAAATATTTGGTAGTCATGATATGTTGCTAGGCAATGTATTTGGCCTTCAAATATTAATTAATTAATTTAATTTATATTTGTTGCCAACATACTTGGAATATAATAGGCCACACACATAAGAATGGATACGAGAAAGTGAAAACGAGAAATTGAATAAAGTATGACTTGATTACAAATAAGTTTTGGGACATTAAGGGCAAAATTATAATTATAATTTACGTAAATTATTAAGTATTGACTTAATTGATTTATTTCTAAAATTCATTCAGATAAATTTTACATTAAATAAACCTAATATTTAATTATGATTTATTTATTTAAATAGTTAAATAAATAAATAAAATTGATTAAATTGAAAATGTTATTACTATATGTATTATGATTTATTTATTTACTATATGTATTAAATAAATAAAATTGATTAAATTGAAAATGTTATTACTATATGTATTATGATTTATTTATTTAAATTGTTTAAATAAATAAATAGGCACATACATATTTTAGTTATAATTTATTTATTTATAATATAGGATTTTTATATATAAGGTATAAGAGACAGTCTAAAGGTAGTTATTATTCATAACCACAAAACTAAACATAAAGCATAAGATAGCTAGTACCATCAATTTCTCTATTCTCTCAACTCTCTAAAATAGTTTTAGATTTTTTTCAATTATCTGTTTATGTGGATACTACTAGAAACCAGACAATTGGAAGATTTGCGACAACCTAGCCGCGTAAATCGAAGTTTTGAAGAATATGCAAAAGAGGTATTTTTCTAAACAATTTTATCGCTTTAATTGTTTAAACGAACCCCCATTGGAATAATTACTTTGTTATAATTATCTTATTTTGCTGTGTATTATTCATATTGAAACCCAACATAACAATAGTTTTTAAGATGTTTTTCTTTTATATGCAAAATATTAATTTCATATGCAGTTAGTATAACTTTTTTTTTCTTTTTGAAGAAATACAATAGTATTAAGGATTATAGAAAGGTAACAAACATTGTGGAATAGTGCCCACACTTGGAAATGAGCATAAGAATAGAAAGCTCTAGCTAACGTATGAGCTTCTCTATTGGCTTGTCTCCTTACCCATCTAATAGCCACATCCGGAGATTAGAAGGTTCTTATAATCATTAATAATAATACCGAACTCAGAAAGCCCTAAACTAGAAGAGACCAAATAAAAAAGAATAGCCTGACAGTCAATAAAAATGCAACTAGGAGAAAGAAGGTTGTCTTATAACCAAATCAAACAAGACCACAGAACCAGAGCCTTTACCATTAAGGGGTCATTAAAAATATCCATGAAACTTGAAATCGCAAAGATAAAGCTACCATCTGGATGCTCAAAGACAATACCAAATCCGGCCATGTGCGAAGAAGCAAAAATGGAACCATCATAGAAGCATTCCAGCCTAACGCTGGTGATGTGCCATATTGCGGAACTGATCCAGCCTGCGTCTGATTACCAGAGCCTATCATGCCTCATCTCTCAAGTGAATCCTCCATTCCCACTACAAGCACAAGGATGTATGCTTGATCCGAGCTGCGTCAAGTCTAATGTTGTTTCATAGCAAAATTGTTTTGAGACATCCACAAACACCACGTTGTAAAGATGAGACTATGGGCTTGTGTCGTGTTATTAGCATGCAGGAGTTGTTGTAAAAGTCAGTAAAGGACATTATGTTGCTAGGAAACAATATTCCTTGCCTCTGCCATACCTCAACTGCTAATGGGCTTTTTAAAAGAACGTGATCAATGTCTTCTTCGTCCCAAAAAAACTACAGCTCACTACTAAAGTAACCCCTCTATCCTGAATACGCTTCTTAGTAGGAAGTATCCCTCTCCTACTCTCCCTAATAACCGAATAGCCAAGTAACAAGCAGATTTTACCATGTATCTTCCCCTCTTATCAAAGTGCCAAAGAATTGTGTCCTCATCCCTATGCCAACCCAAAGGAATATTAAGAATAGCCCGAATATCCCTGACACTAAAAAGCTCTACAACCTTTTCAAAGTCCTAACTCCATCTATCTTCTCTCATAATATCACAAACCCATAAAGAAAGCTCTATGAAGTAAATCCCATCTTCCACCCTAAAGGAGTCCTCCTTTAGAATCCAAGGATCTATACCTACTCTTATATTCTCCCTATTTCCACTCTCCACCTATACCCTTATTTCAATATATCTCTATAAAACAAAACACTCTTTCATGTAAAGCTCGGATTTCATCCTATAGTAGCCGTTATAAAATCCAAATTAGAATAATTTTTTTTTAGTGTTGGGGAAGGGGGGATTCGAACCTGGATTTATTGCCAGGTCACATATGCACTTACCACTAAGCTATGCCTTGGTGTGCCATTAGAATAATGTTTATCTTTGAGAGTCTAAGACAAAAGAGTATTGAGCTTAGTAATTAACCTCTACCTTGTTCACCTAGCATAGGTACATTGAACTATGGAGTTCCTGATGACGCGGAACCCAAAGGAAATGAATTCCTAGAACCCCTAATCGAGTGGATCGGATCAAAGATTAAGATGAATCCCCCTCTATGGCACCCCATGTTTATAAACCTGCCATTGTTTATAAAGAAACGGAAAACACCAAAATAATCGAGTAAAGAAGAACAAGATAAACGCCAAATCGAGTTGATAAGTTTAACCTTAATTATTGAATGCAATTAGAGGATAGCAAATTCTACAATCTTCTCTAATTAAGAAGAACATGCAAGAGCATGAACAATCTGCCTTAGAATTCAAAATTATGCCAAAATCTCGTTTTACATCTTAAGGAGGCTATTTATAAAGCCTCAAAACAAGACTAAACTCTAAAGAAGAGTATCTAACTAGCTGCCTAAGGCCAAAAACACATGGGCCTACTAGTACATACACACACAAATAGATCATTTCCAAACTCCAAAAATAGACAATTAAATTTATTGGGCAGATTGCAATGCAGTCATAAACTACCCAAAACAACTTAAACAAACACTATAAAAGCCCATATCCTTACAATTAATTAGACCAAAACAAAGCAAACAAGAATAAAAACACGTCCAAGCCCACATCCCTCACATATTTAGCATGGCTAGGGTGTGCTACACCCAATAGCACATCGTCTCCAAACATTGTAAGAAAGCCGCTAGATGTGCCTTCCCAAGTTCCACACAACACTTTTGTTAAATGCCACATCATGGAAGCTCTTGTGTAATTTTTTGGTTCAACAATAAGGACATGGCTGTTAAATGCCACATCATGAAGCTCTTGTGTAATTTGGTCAACATATAAGGACATGGCTGCCCCATATCGCTTAGCATGGCTCCGTGTAATTGTCCCACTAGGAAGCACCAATGGATCCATATCAGCCACCACCTGCATATGACCATTTGGAAACAAATTCAACCACTATGAATTACCCAAACAACGATCCAACTTTTCAAGAATAACCACCTACCCATTTCATTTTTGGAACCAAGTATACCGAGGACCATTAGTTGTGATTTCATGCAAATCACTATCCAAGGGTGCTTAACGGAAACCCTCCAGCAAAAACTGAGGTTGCACCTCACCCTCACCTTTTCCTCCACACAAAGCATATCATTGAAGTCTTTGAGACACATCGAGGGCATTGAGTTTTGAATCGACATAGCCCGAATAAGATTCAAACTC